TAGATCTAATTTTAATCACAGGAAAGACCAGGCAAAGATAATATTACAATAATCTCTGATATTTCACCACTTAAAAGACCAAAACTATTTCTAAAATAGAAATATACAAATATATATTATATATATTATATATGACACACATTAACTGATTAAAAAACAAGCGTTCACATATGCATAAAAAAAAATTTAAGAGTTTTGGAAGAAGTTTAGACAAACTTATAAGGACAAAAAGCTTTTAGTTAGACATGACATATATTTACCCTTCACTACAATTTTAGAACAAAGTATGGACATTGACAAAAAATAAATAAAAATGTACATACATTTATTTAAAAAAAATAACTTTACTCTCTTTTGTAAATCACAAATTTTCCTCTATAGATCATAATACTCATTATCAAAGAGCATTCCTTTAAAATACTGAATAACAATAATAATACACTATATCAATATTTAATATTTGTAAAAACAAAATCTTACAATAATATAAAACTTTTAAAAAGTTGCAAAATATATAACTGCATATTTCTAATCCAGATTGAGTTCAGTTTAAATAGTTTTTTCTGAATAAATCTGTGTAATCTAACTAAAAGGTCATTTTAAAATTACATTTTGTCTTTTAAGGGGTTGTGACATGGAGGAGATTCTTGTAATATTATCTCTGACTCGTCTTTCATGTGATTAAAATGAAATCTAAGGCGCCTCCTATTTATTCTGACATCACACTTGAAAACCGATCTAGAAATAGGTGCAAATTTCTTAAATAAAGTGTATTTACCTTTAATTTGAGTAGAGAAATGAGGTAGTTTGCCAATGGAATGAGTAATTTTTCTCTTAAAATAAGATAATTAGATCATTAGCACTAGAAATAAGACAATGTAATTATTTTTTCTTATTTTAAATGTAAGTATTCTTGTTCCGTTGGCAAAATGTCTCTTTTTACCTCCTCAATTCAAGAAAAAATGCACTTATTTTGGGAAAAAAGGACTTTTTTTCCAGTGCAGCTTGTCTGAACTTTGGTCTGACCCAAGATGGCCGCCCTCTAGGCACGTCGGCCTTGCTGCCGACAGCGTCCAGTGAGGCGTCTACGTATATATCGTCTATGGTAGGCCCTAGCAGTATGACATCACAGCAAAGATGGCCGCCTTTAGTTGATGTTTGGATGAGTTCTCTGGCTTGATGAGATGCTCGGTGAAGATGGCTGGAGGTAAACATCCGACCACATTCAGGAAGCCTTTTTAAACAGCCAAACCTTCCTGGGTTGTGGTCTACTTTCCGTGCGCTATAGGAATGCAGCAGGGGTTAAAAAAAGCAAAATAGAAGCGCTGCTTCCAGCAGCGGCGCTGTTAGCGTCATTCTGCCAGCAGGGATCCAGAACCTTTGCTTCCTCCTCAGCCTGTCCTGCATGTGTGCTTGCAGATGGTGCGTGACTCTGGAGCGCAGTCTGCAAAGAGCCTCCTTAGGAACAAGAAGGAGCTGTGCAGCGTTGGCCTGGAGCTGCCGAGCAGAGACACCACGCGGCTGTCGGAGGTTAGCCACACATGCCAGCCTGCTAATGAAGCACAGAGAACATGATGCTGACCTTCATTTCTGCTCTTTCAGATTCATTTTGTGTGTCTGCCCGGGCACAATGAAGGAGAGGATGTCACCCAGCAGGTAGGTGACCCTGAACGGCTGCTTTAACGGCTGTATTGTTGTTTCTTTGTTCTGATTGTGTTTGTTTATTTCCCCAGGCTCTATCCTCCCTGCCTGGGGGGCTGTGTGAGCTCCTCAGGTCTCTCCACGCACACAGCCTGAAAAATGACGAGGTTCTGCTGCTCAGAGACTCGCGCAGGCTGCCGGAGCACAGGGACCACGGCCCACAGGTTGGTGGGACGTTTTCTGCTGAGTCGCCAAGATGAGTGAAGCATGAATAGGCAGAAAGTTAAGGAAGGAGAGAGAGCAGACAGGAAGGGGCAAAGGTCAACACTGCTGAACTGAAGATGTACCCTCTGTCTTCTATCAGGAACATTCTTCTGATCCGGATGAAAACCACTGAATT